CCTTATCTCGCACAACTTCCTTGAACAGTTTCCAAGGAATCGACCTTCTTAAACTCTCCGAGCTTCAAAAAGAAGAAACTGATCTTCGGCACGAGTTGTCGACCACAACCCTCAAGTTACGTATCAAACAGATGGGAACAGGTAAGGAAACCTTACTGTGTGACGCATCTACAGATAGGGATCGCTCAATCGTGCCGAAAAGTTATCGACACAATGTCTTCAATACGTTGCACACACTTTCTCATCCAGGTGTTATTATTATTATTATTATTATTATTCACAAACATCTTATGGGTACATAAGTGTTGTGAAGAAACCATTTCGGGTTTCTTCAAAAAATGCAATAATACACAATTTTCAATAATGTCAGCATTATACTTGCCATTTAAAAAAAATTAGAGCAATAATAGTAGAATATTAATAATAATAAATCGAATCTGTGCAATTGAGAATACTGAATTGAGTTTAAAGGAAATGGAGAAAATAAGGGAATAGAAATAAAGGAGACGTGAAATACGCAAACAGTCTAATAGGCGTGTTTATGAACACAGAGCAAGAATAAACGACTATGTGTGTATCGTTAAATTAGTAACAAAAGTAATTAAGAAAAAATAACTTATAATTGCAGTAAGATATGACGCCGAAACATTATCGACACAATGTCTTCAACACATTGAACAAACTTTTTCATCCAGGTGTTCGTGCAACCATCAAGCTTATAGCAGAACGGTTTTGCTGGCCTGGCATGAATAAAGATGTGAGGGAGTGGGCACGCCCCTGTGTAAGCTGCCAAAAATTTAAGGTTATCAGACACAACAAATGTCCTTCGGGCTCATTTAAAACTCCTGATGCTCGTTTCGACCATGTTAATCTGGATTTGGTAGGACCTTTACAAGATTCAAATGGATACTCTTACCTCTTAACCTGCGTAGACCATTTCACTCAATGGCCAGAACCAGTACCTATCAAGGACATCACTGCTAAAACAGTGGCCCGCGCCTTCGCCGAACGATGGGTAGCAAACTTCGGCTGCCCTTCAACCATCACCACAGATCGCGGACGCCAGTTTGAATCTGAAATTTTCCGTCGTCTGAGCACACTTTTGGGAATGACTCATTTCCGAACGACCGCCTATCACCCACAAGCAAACGGGTTGGTAGAACGCTTTCACCGACAACTAAAAGCTTCACTATCAGCTGCAAACGTTTCACAGTGGACCGACGCTCTTCCACTCGTCTTACTAGGTATCCTCAATGCAGTGAAAGCTGACATTGGATACACTGCGGCTCAACTCGTCTATGGAACGACACTTCGACTTCCAGGAGAATTCGTGGGTCCTTCATCTTCTTCAACGAACATGGATCTAACCTCCTACACGAGCAGGATTACAAACACAATGCGTTCAGTTAAACCTGTTTCCACTCGGCCGCAATCAACTGATGTTTTCGTTCAACCTGACTTACGACATAGTACGCACGTTTTTGTTCGCCGAGACTCACATCGACGACCTCTCGATTCTTCATACGAAGGATCCTTCAAAGTTGTTCAACGCGAATCTAGATACTATATGGTCGATAAGAACTAAACAAACGATAGCATCAGAATCGATCGCTTGAAAGCATCGTATTTAGAAGAAGATCCTATTCACGTCGACAATCGCACAACACGACTCCTACACTCATAATTCCTCAACCGACAACCAACACTAGCGATGACACTCCGAATTTGTCTGGAAATAAACTTAAAATGACGCGTTCTAGAAGAAGAGTAGGTTTCCAGAACATTTAAACGACTACTGCACGTAAGGCACTACTCGACATTTTATATTATCTCGATCTTTCTTTTAACGATATATAATATTAAAAAATTTTAATATGCTTATATATTTATATTTTTATTTTAAAAAACAAACAAAAAACATATTATAAATTTTTTAAACGCTAATACGTGTGCTCGAGTTTATTTTCCATTTTTTCGCCGACATTGTGTTTTTACGCATATGCGAGTGTATTTCGACATGCACTTACATTTTCTTTCTTTTCCAGGACGGCTGGAAAAGAACTATGAAGTTTACGAGGAGCCGAAGTTTACATTGTACATTTTCTTACTATATTGTACATCGTGTTCCCGTATAGTAAATAGCTCTGTAAGTTTTCGACATTGCATGCTGACCATATGTTTTAGTGGACTCATCTAGCTGAAGACGCTCGGTCAGGCATCCGCACCAGATCACTTGTGAGAACGCCTTGCTCAATATTACCGCAATCGCTAGCCAGATTAGATCAGAGGATTCCGATATATTGGTTATCGCCAAATACACTCTTCCGATCTCCTTGATTCTGTCTTTTGATTTCTCTTGGTGGGTACGAATTATATTAGGTGTTACTGGTAAAAGCGTTGTCAAACACTGAATACCTGTGCCATCTTCAATAGCTCTCAACAACAGGTTCCAAGCCTTACAGGATCTACTGTAGGAAGAAGAAACTACTATGGAGGACAACTGGAAAGGTATTGAAGAAGCATCAACTTCAAAGTGTCAGGAGGTTCTCGGTCTAAAGAAGCACCATCGTATGCAATGGATCTCTATGGAAACCCTAGACAACATTCAGGCAGGACCTACAGACCTGCCGATAGATGTCACTCAATCAAAGACCGAAGAAATCAGCATAGCCGTCAGGACCTGATTATATACCATCTGAGGTACTGAACTCAGACATATAAGTAACTTCAAAGATGCTCCACATTCTATTCAGGGAGATTTGGGCGGAAGAGCAAATACCGATGGACAGGGAAGAAGGATAGATGAAGATGGCAAGTGTAGCAGCAGCCCCTGCATCAGCAGACCTCAACATATGCAGGGGTAAAAGCAAGGTCCTCAGATAGAACACGGGGAACACCAACCCCATCACACTTGATGAAGAAGCTCCGGAAGATGTGGAATCTTTCACGTATCTTGCCAGCCACATCACCAATAAACTAGGAGGATCGGATGCAGACGTAAAGGAGCGGATTGGCAAAGGAAAGACAGCATTCCTACAGTTGAACAAACAAAATATTCAACTAAAAACAACTGTCTGTCAACCAATATCAAAGTCACAATCTTCAATACGAGCCGAAACGTGGAAAATTACTACAACCATCATAAAAAGTACAAGTATTTATAAACAGTTGTCTACGTAAGATACTTAGTGTACGTTGACCAGGTACCATCAGGAACAGTCTTCCGTGGGAAAAGACAAATCAGCTTCCGGCTGATTGTCACTAGGGACAAAATATTTTGATGTAATTGCAAAAATCAATAAATTTACATGTCACTGCCGATAATAACTCCAACACTGAACATTTTTAGTGACAAACTTAACTTTCATCAAAAAGTAATCTCTATGGATTGACGGAGGTCAATCAATTTACTTTTCTTCTTATTGAAGACTGTCTTCAAGAACCCGGAGTTTTTGAAGTGTGTGTTACCCTTTCTTGTTGACCTATAAGTCAGGGTTTTGTAACGTTATCAGATTCTCAGTCTAAAAACTTCCAGTTGTTCCTGTAATATTGCCTTATTTCCTCTCCTGTACTATTGTGGTATTTGAACGGTTACTTTCATCATTGAATTTTAGTGTAACCCAGTTATTCATTGAGTCGATCAAGCAAATTGGCTTAATTCTTTTTTTCCTTATTTCAGAATTCTTCATACACACTAGTCTGTACATGTCTCCAGCACAAAATCTTCGTTACAGTTATAAATCCATTAGTCTTAACTTGATATTTCGTGTTGGAGTCGGGACCTGGCGTATCCAAGGTCAAGCGAAGGTTCCTTACGCCTCAGCCTTCCCACCCTTGGCAGCTTACTAGCCAGCGATCGAACTTCCTGACTCAGTTGTAAAAAAAGAATGTTTACGGGCCGAGGTTCTCATGTGACGTAATATCTATATCGCCTCGCATATTCAGTCCATGTAGGGCTTGCTCGTCCTTGTATGCATCCTCCGGCGAGACTAACTTAAGGACGACCTTTGAACGAATCTTAAGTGACCTTGAAAATTATTAGCTAATCAGAAGAAAGTTAGTATAAGGTGAAAATATATTATATGAAAGTAATGAATTACAGTGGATATTCTCCTTTTACATGGTTTAAAAACTTGTTAAGGTTTGATTAAGGTTCAGAGGTTCTGAATTCACAATGCATATGGAATAGAAACTCGTCCATTGGGTTAGGGTTAGGTTTACGGGTAAGGTTAGGGGTTAGGGTTAGTTGAGGGTTAAGGTTTAGGGTTAGGGTGAGGTGAGGGTTTAGGGTTAAGGTTAGGGTGAGGTGAGGGTTTATGGTTAAGGTTAGGGTTAGGATGCTAACATACGAGTTTTTAAATCATGTAAAAGAAGAATATCCACTGTAATTTATTACTTTCTTTTAATATATTTTTACTTTATGCTGTCTTCTGATTGACTAATAATTGAAATCGCTCAAACGGTTCTGATTGGCTCGTCCCTAAATTAGAGTCTCGCCGTCCCATCTGTTGTAACCTCTCATTAATCACCTAGTCTCTAAAATCCGCATAATTAAATGTGTAACTTGAAATGCTTCTCTACTGAGTTTTTGCCCAAAGTATTTATTCATATTCTTGTATACTGGCTAACTATTATGGTGAAATAAAACATGGTTAATACCATATAGTGGCCTATTAACAAATAAGGTCTCATTACACAGTATGAGTCATAGTATATATGACTTAGTCGTAGGGCCTGTAATTTTGCTGAAAGGTTAGCTTTTGTTTTTCAAAATTTACCTGATCGTAGGAACTCCATCTATTAACCTGTCCCTATCAGTAATAAGGCTATGTTCAATGCGGTTTACTGATTTCCTCAAGTTTTTCAGGACCAAGAATGTAATATTTGTTTCCTCCTGACCATGTGCAAATCCTTTATTCAAAATGAAATAAATTACCACTGTTTATTGTTTCATCCATTTTTAGGCTCATTCTAGTCATCACTATATTGACTAAACTACAATGAATCTTCCATGTGTATTATATGTAAACCCATCGAAATTGTTCTCATGTTTTCGTCTCCGTTTCGTACGACATCTGGTTTGTTCTTTACTTGTTATTCATCCCATTTTTCAAGTCTTATATTAAATCGGCGACAATCGATAACGAGGTACATATTTTAACGTTGAATAATCCTACGACTGCTAATTCACTTTCTTTGCCGTTGATGAAAGAACTTCTCATGGTTTTGGATTCGATCAAGTTGTCGCAGAATATTAAAGCTTTAGTGATTACTGGTGAAGGAGGATTTTTTTCTTCTGGACATAATCTTCACGAGGTTATCAAGTTTTCTGATACAAACTCTAAAAAAGTATTTTCAACAGCATCAGAGGTAAATTGGTTTATATTCTATTAATCTTACTGTTTCGCTCGATCAAGTTTGAGTAACTGAATCATTTACTATAGACAACCTGGGCCATATAGGATAAGTATCTGTAACTGTATTTGACCGATTACTTACATTCAGTGAGAACATTACATTAGTAATATTGTTGTAGTCTAGTTGTTAGGGCGTTTGATTTTCAATCACCAGGTTGTGGACTCGAGTCCTGCGTCACCTATTTCTGTATAGTCTACTGGGTATTATCGCTAGCCCTTACGGATAAAGCACGGCTCAAAGCCAAATACAGAAAGCTACACTTAGTGAACTACGTCAATACTGAGGTCCGGATATTCGTGTTCTAACATGATAATTCGACTGGTGTTAAGATCTCGGAACACAGGATTTTGATGGCTTGATCGCTTTTCATGCATTTCACGCCAAAGACTTCCAAATCATGTATCGTTTGACGTCACTAATGCAGAATGGCAAAGCAACGCAATGGTCAGTTTGAAATGTGCAATAAAGTATAGTTGTACTTGGTTACGGGTCGTTGACTCATCATGGCCTTCTGTATGGGACTGAAGATGGTGTGCAACTCATTGAATCGAGGTGTTATTAGATATGACTCAGTCAAATTACTTAATATACACTATTCATATTTTTTTCGTTGGTTGTTTAACCCCTACTGACTTCATTAACTTACACTTGCTGTATTACATTCATTTAAGTCGACACAGAACCTTTTGCAATAATGTTTGGTTTCATTCCTTCACACTCCTGAGCTAGATAATTAAAGAAAATGAAGTGGTGACTCAGAAGAAAAGCGGAAGTACGAAGTAGTTAGGTAAGGTTATAATAATGAAATGGTTGGCTACTTGTATGTAATAAGAAACATGTTTTTGTCACACAAGAACTAACTTTCAACCATATTGTGAAACTATCTCATTTCTAACATATCTCAAAGCAGTAGTTAACGACTTCATGAATTAATGTCACGTCTAAAATTCACTTTTCTAATGTTTTCTCTTTTTCGTGGTCACCTTGGACAACAATGGGTTTTCTTATATGTACAGTGTATGAAGTAATTTACTCATTTTGGTTGATGGTTTGAAACTATATAGATCAGTACACGTCTGTTGTCTTGTGCTTTACGTCTATGGCCGAACTTAATGTCAGTATTGTGTCGAAAAACCGCTGAGTACCAAATTCACTGAACTTTTTAACGCCATGTAGTAAAGTAGAGTAATTTATTGTGGTATATACCATTATTTTGCTCAGATTTTGTTATCATGAGTGTGGACCATGCAAAGTGATAAATACTAGTTAGATCTTTCATATACCACCAGTCCACATGAATCTATCCTTATAACTAAAGTATTAATATGATAAACACAGTTATTCAAATACCTATAGTCAAAACCAGTTCTAAGAAATCATCTTTAATTAGTAATATTGTTGAAGATGTTAAATCCGTAAGTGCTACTACACGTAGGGAAAGATCAATTCACATTGGTTTTCGGTGAACTTCGCTCATTGATTTTCAATATATTTTCATGTGTCGATTTACCCAGTATGCAGTTAATTTGTTCTCCATGCATTTCCGTTATATTAATGCGCTGTAGTTTTACATTAAAGTGACGATTAATAATTCTGATAAATTTTGTATTCAATAGTCGATATACAATTCAACTAACTCGAATGTAATTAAATTATTCTGTGGTCTTGAGCAGTACATCTTTTTCACAAGACTTTTATTATATTTCATCCATCGTACGGTGCGTTAATGACTGAAGTGTTATGTATTGGTTATCCGATTTGTCTAGTTCTTATAGACTCCGTTTTGTTTTGAAAAAAATCTCCCAGTCCCCCGAAACCAGAAAATTCCATACCTTAGTCTTAATCTACAGCAAGGTCATAAGTGTATACCTTGAATAATTCAATGTTGCTTCAGCAAATCTAGGGAACTTTTTATCAGTGTCTTTGTTTAATAGAAATGTTTCATCGCTACATAATCAAAGATATTTCGAGAAAAAAGTGTGAGGTAATTGTTGAGTATAGTTGACGGGAAACCGTGGACCTAAGTTCCGTGCTATTTGGTATTCGTAAGCAACGTGTACCTGTAACCTTAAGGGGACTGATGCTCTCGCTTCATCCAGCTTCACAGTCAGAGACGTGGTCGCTGAACTATCCGCTCCACGAATAACCAGTAAGCTTGAAGCGTATTTACAATTGACTGAGAACCAGGGAGCTTAATTTATCTTAAGATTACCGATACACCTTGTGGGAAAGTATCAAATATCCAGTGTTTCCCATCGATTAACTCCAACCATCACCTTACATCTCAACATAGTGTACGGGATATCGAGTTGCTTAGACTAGAGGCTACATTGCAACTTGTTTGATAGAATTCCATCGGCACTAAATAAAGACTTGAAATACATCACATTGGTCACTACCCAGTTATCGATTAATTGTCGTGAAAAGAAGCATAGAATGTAAAGCTGATTACAAAAGTCTTTGTTTTCAACCAATAAATAAATAAGCATTGTTTCGTCAGGTCTTTTTACAGACAAATTTATGTATCCTGAACTTGTTGTTGTTTAAATTCTGAATTAATAGATTATGGAGAAATTAACTGAATTTCCTATACCATCGATAGCATCTGTAAATGGTCCTGCTGTCGCTGGAGGTTGTCAATTAGTTGCAGCTTGTGACTTGGCAATATCAGCCAAATCTGCGATATTTTCAGCCAGTAGTATTAAACTAGGATTATTCTGTAGTACACCTGGTGTATCATTAGTTCGAGCGATCGGGTTACGAGCTGCTAATGAACTACTTTTAACAGGTAATCAATATATATATATATATATATATATATATATATATATATATATATATATATATATATATACCAATCCATTCTGTATTATTCTATTGGTGCGAAACATTTTCCTTAAGAGTAGAAGACATGCATAAGCTAAGAATTTTTTATCATAGTTGCCTTCGAAGCATTTCTATCTTTACGTGGAATGACTAGTGAGCAGGGTTTAGATTAAACACAGAATATAAGGCAAATGTAGCAGATCGATTGGCTAGGTTGTAAGTCATCAACTGAGATGGTTTTGATATGTATTATATATTGAGCCGCTGCCTACTTCGATAAACGCTACTTGCTAGTACAGAAATGGTTAGGACGATGCTACTAGCGGTCAAACCAATATGTAACAACAGACCACGAAGCTGTTGACTGTTCTGAATCTTGCCGATAGATGCAGACTACCTGATTGACATCCTTGCGATTCTAGCAACCGATGATTAGGGATTTTGTGCTAGAGACGTTGGGTGATGTGGCTGAGGATTGATCACAACGGCCGTGGTAGATTCACTTCATTTTTTTCTATTTTTTCGGACCATGTTCTCAACGCTTGATCTTTCTCATTATCACTGCTGTTACATCATTTCAACTTATTTGCTACTCGTCCTATTGATTTCCTCTCGTTGTGTTAATAATATGGCGACTTGGGTCAACATACTATGTACAAATATGCACATTGATTGACTGACTGACTAATATTCTGGTGGATGATGATTAATCAATTAAAGGGAAAACCATGTCCGGTTCTTTGTGCTGACTTTCAGCTTCACTGAAATAGATGCCTACCAGAGTGATGATGGGTCCAATACAAAGGAAATAACATTTTTCTTACATTAAAGCTTTTAATATGTATCAAAAATACATCCTTTCTACACCTGTAATTAGCTTGGTTGTCAGAAAGTATTCCGTAAAGTTTCTCAACTAAGTTTCTGTGATCAAATATTAAAGCTTAAATAGCATTTACTAGATATTAGAAGCGACATCTTAGTGGTTTCACAACCTGTTTATGAATAGTTAAATGTTAGGTTCGTAATGATAAAGTCTTCACCGATGGCGGAAATCTGTGGAGCAAGGTAAGTGGTGGTATTCATAGGGTCGATCTTTTTTGACTTTCTTTCATTGTGGGGAAGCAAAATTGCTTCAGAAATTGGTTTCCTGAGAGAAATTACTTGCTATTGTCACACCTCTGTACATTTAGTTGTACGAATTTGTCCTCAGACCTTGAGTTTGCTGCTTGCAATCTGACTGTAATGTATGACTCAGAAATATTACGAGAAATTTGAATAGATTCAGAGGAAGGCTTATGAGAAAATACCTCGTTTAATGAACTATTCGAAGTAACATTCTTCTCGATTCAGTCTAAGCCTACTAGATCCAAATCATACCGACTCGTCAGATAACAAACGTTATCAAATTTATGTTATTTGAACTTTACCTCGCACATGACTTAAGTTAGCTTCACTACATCTCCTGGTTCATTTCGGGCAACATGTTCGGTTAGTTGAATGCGTGGGCATCCTAGCTTACGCCACGTGTTTTTAGAAATCAATGTAACGTTGGAAGCCGTGTCTAGCCGAAGACGAATAGATTTTCCACTCACTAATAAGTTTACATACTTCCTTGATTTGGGTCTATGAATTTCGTTTCATATTCCCGCTACGAAGTTTTGACTGGCGTTTATTTACTGGTCAGTGACCTTCTTTATGACCAATGCGATGACAGTGGCGGCACTTGTGATTCTTGAATGGATATAATTTCACAAAATGCCATGCTCCACGAAACCAACATAGTGATGATGGTTTGTCAGCAGGTTATTATGCGCTTGCTGTGCTTTGTTTGAGAGATTTAGAGGATTTAACTGCATTAACTGAACCGAAATCGGAATGTTTCCGTTATATCACGACGAGAATAATGGGTGATAACTGTTGGAATCTATTTATGGACTAATACCGTTTATTTTTTTATTGTTAAGTAACTAAACTATGTATATTCATATACCTCTTATTATAAGCTTCATTTTGACCTATAAACTATTATCATACGACTTACTTTTCTTAAGTTATATCCAGTTTATTAATTACAGTCAACCGCAATCACAGCCACTTTTTGGCTTGATCTTTTACAGTTGTTATTTTCTATTTATGGTGGCTTATGTATAAACCCAGTACTTTTGGAATATGCGATTCATATCGCGGAGGCTGAGATTTGTGTTCTGTATTTAACAGGCAGGGAAAAGGGCCAGTCGAGACTCGAGGCCGTTCGTTCAGGTGTATGCGTCATTTGTTGATTGTATAAATCCGCGTATCTAAATTTGGCAATCATATTCGCGGTAATCGTACAAGCTAAGAACATAACAGTTTCGCCTTGTGTTGCACCATTGCGATACCGTATTTGAAGTTTAACAAACGTTGACACTCGGTTGTGACCATTTGCAAAGCCGTGTTCGATTACTACTCAATGCGGGTGCCCATATATTCTGGATTCTTTAATCCATAGATAAAAACCAGACATTTTAATTGATCCGCTGTAATTTCATTTTAAATAGTTCACATTCTCGATTTACTTTTCCAACATAGGTGAGATAATTCTTGGATAGGATTTTATTTCAAAACACTGGTGGCGAATTAAAGAGGACGAATGTATTTGTAAAATCTCAGCGAAAGAATTTGAAATCCAACGTTTCGCCTGGCAATCTGGTTCAAGCTTTTTTCAAGGAAAATATAATCAAACAACAAAATTACCGAATATTATTATTGGAAACGTTAGATTTACTTCAAATTCTTTCGCTGAGATTTTACAAATACATTCTTCCTCTTTAATGTCTCACATTGACTCGGCGCCCAAATATTGTGAAACTATTCGTTCAGATTTAGACGAAAGTTCTTATTTACTAGTAGCGAATGTTGATTGGTGAGGATTGTTCCCCAGAAATTTTAGGTAATATTTGGACTGTGTTGTTAAAAGATGAAATTCGCATATTTATTATATTCACGTGTTCCAAGTCCTCTCAGGAGTAAGCGAACTTAACTTCGTCATCGGGATTTGAGCATTCGACACGGAATATGTTTTCGAAACGATGAAACCAAGAATCGAATATGATACCAGATTCAGGATCATAGCTGAATCCACAAATGGAATTTGCAATGCTTTCATATTTATCTGATTGAAAGGTTGAAGTTTAATGAAAGGAGAGCTTCTGCGTTAATGCGTCCAAAAGCTTCATTCAATTTGCATCACTCTGCGCTTGCTGAATTTGTAGAGTAGTTTTAAGGTCGTCCAATGATGTAGACATTTTGTTCCGGAGCGATCGAAACAAAAATTCTCTGTTGTCACTTTTGTTACGTCTTTGGTCTGTTTAATCAATAACATAGAGGAGAGAAGTTGTCTCGATACAGGTTCAGGCCTTAACATGATAGGCCAACTGGTTTAACCTTGGGGCTAGAAATGCGTAAGTCCCAGTCGAGACTAACGGCCTTGAGTAGAGAGAGGCGAGAAACTATTCTATCACTTGGTTGGTTGACAAGCGAGAGAAATGATGAGTCAACTGGACCACATGAATAATTTCCGATTCCCAAATCACATTAGCGTAAAAAAATATACACGAATAAATAGATATCTGACATGTCCGCAACGTACAAACAATTAGGAAAATACAATTATGTTCAAGCTGGTCATTAGGGTAGAAAATAGAGTACTAAACGTTACGTTTAAATTGCGACGGCTTTGGAATAGAAAAAGTTATGGTAGTTAGTCATACATCAAACGAAAGCTTATGGTTTATATACTAACTAGGGACAAAACTAAATGTTATTGTTTTACAAGCTTCGAATTAAGTGAAACAACACCCCAAAAATGGCTTCCGTTGTTTGTCATAGCTTCTTTGTTTCTCCGTTTATATCAAGTATGCTTGTCTCTCGATAGACAAGTGGATATCTCATCTCCATAAGTGGCGACACAAAATGACGAAAAGACGGGATTTTCGCATCCGTGTTGGGATTTCACCAGTTACTAATTGCACTAGGTAATGTCAGGCCTTGATGAAAATCTCTTTAAATTGGACTAATCCCCACGAACTTTCCAACCAAATAATCTTACATTCTTGCTCGTATGATTTTTCAGCAATGTATTCAGTCTTATAAAAATCCTGTTCCCTGAGGTTTTTCTCAAAAGAAACAAAACTTTTTTTTAGGCAAAGCTATCAGTGCTGATAGAGCCTACGAATTGGGTCTTGTTCATCGTGTAGTTGAAGATGACAAACTATATGAAGCGTCTATTGAATTCGCCAAAGAAATTACTCAACATAATAAAGATGTTGTACAGTTAGGTCGAGAAACTCTTCACAAACAAGTAAGTTTATTGGAAATAAATAATTTTGCTTTTTTGTTTTTTTCTGTGGTTAAGTATTTTTCTGCATCGTCCCGCTTCTACCAGATGATTTTCTTTCCTGTGGACTATTGTGTGAAGCATTAATCCATCAAGTTTTGTTGATAATCAGATACATGTAATTAGAAATAGTTACTCAGTTATGAATTATTTAATCAACTGATAGATAGAGATAGATACTAACTTTGGATCAAAGTTATAGTGCATTTATTTCAACTACCATGTATCATGTATAATCTGACGATATTAAATGAGCGCTAAGATAGAAGTCTATACAGTTTGTTTTAAATCTATGACTGTATATTTTAATGCTGACTAACTTGACAAAGGAGTGTAAACGTTTTAAGTATTTGTTTTCGTTGTCCTTGTATATATGTCATTTTGTAAAGTTGGCGACTTGCATCTACGAGAAACGGTTTGGAATCATTTGCAATACCTTAAAAATAATAAAATCCCGATTACATATTATATTTGGATTTGATTTTCTAATCTTGACTCTCCCCTATAATTCCTCGGAAAAATCTCTAGAAGCTAGTTAATATACTAAGACTACCTCAACTAATGGAGGTTATTTTGAAACTTCTTAGCGAAGTCGACAAAGTGACTGATGATGTTTTTATTATCATGGCTCGATAGCTATCCAATTTATTAATGTAGAATAGTTGGAATGTGGCTAACAGTGGAATCCAGGATGCACGTTTCGTCCTACTGTTAGTTACATTCCACCTATTCTATATTAGATGACATTAATGAAATTATGCAAGTTTTGTTATACATATCCCAGTTTGATTTACTTCAGCAAACACGCTCCGTGGTTTCCACTGCTTGATATGTACAAAATGTACTGAAACTTGTCACGTAACACTACATCAAGACAATCCGCTTCAAGGATACACATTTGGCGGCTTAGATAAATTTATCAGTGCTTTTTTATTTATTTGGTTTATTTAAACACAAATATTGGTATAAAGGTGTTAGGATAGTCCCGAAAATATCTCTCGACGAGTCCTTAGTGGTCCAGAAATCCCAGTAAGTTTGCTATCCGATCGGCGTCGAATAGAATTTTCGCAGAAACATCTGGAAAACAGAAACATATGCCGCAGCTTGGGTTGGATAATTATCCATGAGACTGCTATAGTTAGTATGGTTCCAGAAGCCCAAGGCCGCCTGTAATAGTATAAATACCCTTACTTTTCCATACCTTTGTTAACCTTGGAGTAATGTGTTCTTTTTACACTTCTCGCGTTTTCCCTCGTATTCAAGTCGCCGTGTAGATTTAGCCTGAGGTTATTAGAAAAGCTTAGGAAACCGATTCAAGCGTTCAATTAGAAGATTTATATAAAGGGACAATAAAGTATATATGCGTCACACTCATCATTTCATGTGTGTGGGCTTGGATGCTACGCGGCGCTCAAACAGAAGCAGGTGGTTTTCTCAGGGAGCTATCGTTTGAACCTTTGGTTTATAGATCTAATCCTCAAGGCAGTGGATTAACGTTAGGAGATGCAGTTTCATGGCACCCAGTGATCAAGTATGGGTTCATACGCCATTTGTCCCATCAGGATCCTGAAGCCCATGTATACCATTGGTTTGGAATCAGGGTTTTCCAAATGTCCTAGATGGATCCTCCGTATCCACCAAACTGATGGGACATTAGATTTTTGTCCTCAATTTCCTCCACGAGAAAGCAGTGAGTAGGACTTTCCTGGTAGTGGCTGTATACGCATGGTTATATATGAGAGCATTTCGAGAGATGGAGCGGACTCTTCCAACCTTCGGTTGTATTATGGCATTAGGGGGCATTAATAGTCCCTGGTATCGACAATAGTTAAACACAGACCCTTCTCACTAGTGTTTTATTTGGGTTTTCATTTTGTTTTTATTTTTTTAACCTAACAGGCTTCTATGACATTAATGGATGCTTATGCAATAGCTTCAGATGCGATGGTAAAAAATTTACAATTCAATGATACCAAACAACGCATTCAATCATTTTTAAATCGGAAGAAATAAACAAATAGATCCATGTAATTAAGATTCTTATGTTGATACTTATTTTTTGTTTGATTGTATATGTACCTATGCACGCACACACACGCTCGCCTAAATGTATACTATAACCTGTACACATCAGATAATTTGTTTTGTTTTTTTTGTTTTTTAGAAAAAAAACTTCATATTCATTTTTCTTCTTACGTCGTTTTTCAGTATCATTTTATTTTTCTGTTGAAATGAGAGAAAAAAATATAGGGAATTAGCTTAATTTTGAGTTCTGTCAATGTGTTCTCTTCTAATTATTTCGTTTACTTGAATGATTTTACTGTATGCTTGTTTGTCTGAATTGTTATGGATTACATTGATAGTATGTAATGTGAGAAAGCTTGGGAGTTTAAAAAAAAATTCATTTTATTAAACCGTGTGTTAGTTAGTAATTGAGTATAGTAGTTGAACTGTTATATTTGGTCGTCGCTGATTGCTGTGCCGGAAAAACGCTGATCATTTATACTCGGAACGATGGACCTCGGCAATTCCCACGATGCGAAAGTAAGAACACAAGACTGGTATAAGTGAAGATTTATTAGACCCAAACACTATGACGACGACAACGAACGAATGTAGTTTAAAATACACTGGTTTATATATTGATTGTACACCCATTTTGATTAATAATTAGGATGAAATCATATATATAACAAATCATATATTGAGCATAGTTCATGTCAATCGAATACAAGAATATTGTATATTATACAGAAGAAAATATCATACTGGGAAAACAAACCAAATACTACACTGAATGATCAACACGTTGAATCAAAACGGATATAATGCTGAACAAAACTCTTAATGAGTAAATCAATCGAAAATTGACTTTTCTTTCTATCATGAACCTTATAATTTCGAATGCAAATTTCGGATTACAACGCTAATAACTTCAAAAGGGATTTTTTAAAAATCGCAGTTTTTATCTTTGAGAAACGCGGGAACCCTTGAATCTGACACATTTAAACTCATGTCCTAAATGGCTGGTTTTCAAACATACCTTAAAAAATGATTGGAATACTTACTTTATTTTGTCTGTATTGTCGTCCATCAGTGTTAACAAACCATTGTCTTTTCAGTAGTTTGGATTTAGGTCATAGATCAATGAGAACATAATACAGGTTCTATTGAAGAGTATTTGCATACATTCACTGTTCGGTTGATATTTTGATTTACATAACAAATATGAAAGGCAAACAGGATTGTTTAATGACACTGTTTAACTTATCACTGTGTACATTGATGTGACTTAGAAATCTTGGATGTTGTCTAGACCAACTAAACTATATACTGGAATTATGTCTATTGTTACCCATCTATAGCAACACATGACCGATTTCGGATTCATTGCTTTTAAGCTACACAACCCTTAGTCATTTTAGTCACTGACTTCTGTTTTGCTTAAAACTTCGACGAAAATATCTGTTGTTCATACACCGCTCAAACAGACTAATGATTATTTTCTGGTATATAAATATACATTGTCCGTAGTTCAACCTGAAATCTGGATTTAGCCCATTGGTTGTATCGGAAGCTTCCTTGGCTCTAAATAATCGGTAGGGAGATGCTCTTAAACTTCTCATATCATCTTAACAAGGTTAGTATTTATTTATTTATTTGTCTTTTTTTAAAAACTCTATATTTAGCTACTCTATGTAATGGCAATGTTATCGACTTCAACACCAATGTTCAAGTATTACAGTTTGTAAAGCTAGATATTGTTTACTTATCAGACTCAAAGTAAGTGATATCATTTTATTTATTTACTTATCTATATCAAGACCATTTAGAATTTCCATCACTTTCAAAATGGAAAAAAATTCACAAGGTAAAAATAATCCAATTACAAGAAATGAAACAGTTGCTGACATATCAAATTCCTCAGTTGATGATAATTCACTAATTAGTCGAGCAACTAAAGCTGTTCGTGATTATCTGGAATATGATTTTGAATGTAAGTCTGTGGGTTATTTTCAACATTTTTTTCAAAGTATGGATAATTGATTCGAGTATACTAAGACCTGTAGCGAAATGAGATTTGCTTAGGATGCAAGTATGTCAACAGAGACCGGTTAATTTCAGTCCTGATCTCAATAACAGCAAATTACAAACTTTTATTAATGTCTCAATACCTGTTGAACAGGTTATCGATTGTTTAGAGCAAGTAGCTTAGTGAATATCGTGTTGTTGTTCAAAGCCATTGTTATTGAATTGTAATCAATATGAACATCAACATTGGGGTGTAGGTGCTACATCCACCTGATAAGTCCCAAATAGGACAAAACACACTTCCCAGATTTTAACTGTTAACCTTATTTCAACCATATATTCAATTTACTACTAAGTTTAGCATCGTTGCGATCTGTCCAGTATGGAAATATAACAGTAGATACCAATCGATCTCAGTCCCTAATATCAACAAAGGGAAAATTTAACCCCTTAATTGTGGTCGCTTTGTTTAGAAGTGTTTTATTTTACTTAATATGACAAATTCGTCGTAAAGCTGGTCACAAAAATAATATGCACTACAAGGAATAAAGAAATAACATTGAAGAGAAATAAGGTTTGCAAGGGGGGTGATTGGAAGTATATATATATTTAAGTCACACTTTTTCAGCAATGGAATGTACCCCATTCCTTAAAAAGAATATCAAGTTTTGGCCAATCGCGTGCACTTAGCATTTGGTTGATGACCTGTTGTATTACGTTATAGTCCAGTTAAAAATATAACGGTGAAGAATTTCTTTCAATAAAGTGATTTCGTTTTGCTTTTATGAAGAATGTAGAGAAAAATTTCATTTGTTTGGGCTATCTCTAGGATCTTAACCTGGAAGTTGTGATAATAGTCATATAATCCTTCTTTCACACTACGGCTCCATGTTATAAGCTGACGATCCTTCCACTTTTTCCACTCAGTGCCACTATAGGCACTTAATACATAGTGCGAAAGTTGTTGGAATAATATGTTTAAATCACCGAATTCGGTATTTCAAGATAGTGACATCAATTGAGTTGTCGTCACTGTGCCCGAACACACATTGCCAGACCTCAGCTATACTAGCATGATGTTGTCACTAGATATAATCAGTCCTTCGAACATAATGACGGTTATGAATCGAGTTACTGAACATTCCTAATTCAGTGAAGTTTTAAAAGCATAAGGCAGAACTGTCCTCCCTTCTGACCCGTTGTAAACCTGAACTTCTACAGCCAGAATAACACCACAACGGTCCCGAAGATTGTCCATCACAGTATATATTTCTTTGTTTTTCATTATACATTTCAAAATAATAAAAGTTATCCTTTTAAAAATATCATTCCTAGTTATTATTTCTATTGTATTTATTTATAATACATCCAAGTTGTGATGCAATAAGGTATCAACGGAAAATGTGATAAGTATTCAAAATTATCCCCAAAGGTATGAAATCTCTAAGACTCTGATGGGTAAATCAAAATACTGTATTTGTCTGAATAACGATAATATTACGCAAACAATATAAGCAATAAATTTACACATATTGAATTCTGTGGTATCCAAGAATTGGTAATAGATCGAAAGGATAATCAATAAGAAATTGCGTCCTCGGACTAATCGCATAAAAATTAATGTAGAACGCCGCATACCATGAATCGATGGACAACACAGGGAGTGAGTTGTTTCCAATCGTCAAATTTAAAAAAGAAACACGGAAAATAGAGAACGAGTCGTAAAGGTGGGGTGAAATACTATCACAAATAAGAAAATGAGTAAAGACATCGGTGGTATATACAAATCCTTAACAATTGCATAATATCACAGTAGAGAAACGTCATGTTGCAAACTCCAAAATTTATTGACAATGACATTAAATATTAAATATTAATTAAGTAGTTAAGTGTAACACAAAAATAAGCGAAGAGACAAGAGGTGGAATTGTGGATATTTAACTTGCTCAATTTTGTTACTGCACTGGTGTTTGTGTTCGTATGTCGTGTAATATGACTCATAAATTAAATCAGAATGGATCGCTGATTTTTAAAAATATACTTGGTGTTCATCTAGCTAAACCCAGTACATCTAGATAACTTTCTCAGCGCAGTTTTCAACGCTTAGGCTTTTTTTAAAAGAAATAAGCCAACACAAGGAGGTACATCCAATGATCGTTGAAATTTGAAAATGCTACGTTGTTTTGCATGCTATTTAAACCTCGACACTTAGCTACATTATTGTGTATATATTGGCAATTTGCACATTATATTGGGTTTAAGAAGGTTAGTGGTAAATATGAACAGTGACGAAATCGAATTAAGTCTTTCGACGTTAATTTCACTCGAAGACCAAGATTAGATGTTTGAGCGACGCGTAAAATCCGAAATATCGAACATAGGATTCGGCTACAATTCTATAATATTACTAATGGCACCATAAACAATGCATTTTACAAATCTCGATTCAAGTGGTGCATATGACGTTCACGTATTTCATCTTGATAGCAAAAGACTGAGTACTTCGATAGACTATGTAATACACAGTAGCCATTTCGATTATTTATTTGAACACATAATAATTGGTACAAGAAAGCACCAGGTATATATGCGCCACACAAACCAATGAGAATTCGAAGAGAAAAATAGGTAAGGAGCGTAAAAGAAAAAAAAGAAGAGGAACAATAACGGCCAGATTATTATAAGGAAGTGTAATAATAATAATAATAATGGGGGAAACAGAAAGGTACAACCAGAAGAAATCTTTCAGTTAAGGAAGATACAACCACTTTTTATGAAGAAAGTAAGAGAAGGTTGCAGCACGATTGCCATTGGTTTCTATTCTGAGCCATATCTGATAACGTCTCTAGACACTGTGTTGCACCATCTCTCGGACCCCAACCAGGGAGTCGTGAAGGACCAAGAAAAGCCAATCCCGTACAGCTTTCTTTCATGCCACAACACCATGTCATACACTGACCACCTCTCGGCTTTTTCCAACTAGTCCCAGAGTCGGCAAGTAATGCACGATGTGGAATTCTCTGGGACGACATTCGTAGAACATGTCCAAGCCACCGAAGTCGGTGTTTCAAGATGGTGACACGAATTGGATTATCGTCTCTGTGACCGAACACACGATCCCGAACCTCTGCATTACTAACATGGTGTTGCCACTGAATGTCAGCAATCCTTCGGAGACAGCGATGATTGAACACAGACAGTTGTCTAACGTCCTCAACTCGGAGAGGCCAGGTTTCACAAGCCGCTCTGGCTTTCACTATACGTGCATTGATCTCGTCACTCACACCCCCACCAGCACTTATGCAGCTACCCAGATACACGAACTTCTCAACTACGTCTATCTGCTCACCATCCGGGGTGAGTACAGGATTGGAATCCTGCCAGTCTTGTAGGAGTACTTTGCAATTCGAAGGTGCAAAGCACATACCATACCTACGGACACTGATTGCCAACTGATTAAGTGCGGATTGCATGGCTTGGGCATTATCTCACAGTAAGACAATATCATCCGCATACTCAAGGTCGAGAAGTCTTTCCCCAGGCAACAGATCCACACCACCATTACTTACATTCATCAGAGCTGTTTCCAGAATGTCATCGATGGCAAAGTTGAAGAGGAATGGTGAGATTGGACAACCCTGCCTAACCCCACTGCTCGAATGGAGCGAGGTGGTTGTATGCCCTCACTCTGCCTGAGGTGTTTGTATATAGGGCTTTTAGGATGTTAATAAACTTCTCAGGCACACCCTTCTTTAATAGACAATCCCAGAGAACAGTCCTGTCCGACGAGTCGAAGGCAACCCTGATGTCAAGAAACACTACGATTGTTGGCCTTTGATAAGTATGGCGGTGTTCTAACATTTGGCAGAGGGTGAAGATATGATCAATACATCCTCGACCAGAACGAAACCCAACCTGCTCCTCGCGAGTCAGTTTTTCTCGGCTTTTGAACATTTCGATACAATCATTCCAGACAATAATATGAAATAGGAACTGTTCACACTAAATATAGACGCTTTTACAGATAAAAAAATGTTCGGTAAGCATGCAAAAAAGTATAAATTATTAAGAATACCAAGGAAACGAAGTTACAATAATTACTCGACTAAATGGCACCGATTTCTTGAAGTACCTAGAAATATCGCACGAAAACGTAATGACATTACAAATTGTATGCTCAAAAGTGATTGTCATTAACATCAGTTACGGAATATCAGCAAGTAATATAATACACTAAAGGTAACCGAATGAAAACGAAAGTTACAAGCAGGATGAATTGCGTTTAAACTTAAAAGTATTAGAAATTGATCGTTTTAACACACTGGGAAATAAGTTCTTGTTTTGTTTTTGCACATAAATCTTCTTTTATAATGATTTAAAATCACATCTTGGATGATCTAATCTATATTTTTGTAGGTCTTGTTTCTGATGTCAATATATTAACACGTATGAATCAAGCTTCAAGCGAACGTTACATGGAATTAACTACAAATACAAATGATATGACAAGAAAATTAATTGATGTGAACAACCGTTGTAAGTTTGATACTATAATTGATGTTAAAATCCGATTTCGTTGTTTGGTTCATTATAAGTAATTTATTTGTAAACCAACGTAAAATATAGCTAGTTGATTAACATATGATCTGTGGATTAACAAGAGGCAAAGTAGACTTACTGTTCATTCAGTGTTATATCTTTCCATTAGAGAAGCAGATAGACAGTCCAATTTTAAAATGATACTCTGGGTCAATCGAACATAGGTCAGATGATAAATGTAAAATACTGACGGGGCATATTATTGATTAAGGTTCAGTTTCACTTTCTGGACGAATTGGTGTACATGATTGACTAAAAATCCGGCGCAAGCTTTTGCGAGTGACGCACATATATTTCTTATTCATTTGTGCGTATATTTTTGCTTCAGTTATCCTTCAGAAGTTTTCTGATGACTTGGTTTGGCCTCATGTATAGGAAACTTTTATACCGATGTCAGAATTGGACGAACTCGGAAGATAACAGAAATATGTCACATGAGTGCAGGTTGTTTTATTGCATAAATATACAGAAAATACTCGCTAATAGAAAATTCAAGATTTAAAAGATGAGATCACTAACAATCAAGAGTGGCCAAATCAAGATTCGGTATCAGTCTGTAAATTTATTGACTTTTGGGTAGGTGTTGATGGGTTAAGACCATTTGTTTGGTATCTGTAGGATTATCATGGTCAATAATTAGGTGATATCTATCAGAATAGGTCACAGTAATGCATATTTATTCACATTTTATCTTCTTTTAGGTCTTGTGCTTCAATATTCATTCGCACATACCGTTTCTTCTATATTTCTGAATTATATTCTCAATTTTGAATCTTTCTCATTATTATCGTCACAATCGTCATTGCAAAACTGTTGCTGTTCATCTTGCCAATTGCATCTCATCGTGTTGAATCAACACATATGTGTACTAAGCTCTATATTGATTGTAACTGACTAACGAACCTCACGTCAGTACTACAAGAGAGAAAGTTAACATGATGAAAGGCGGATATGAATGGTTAGTTTCGAATGCTATAAAAGAATAGGAAGTTAAAATGGACACGTTAATCAAGATAAATATGAATATAGTGAATAGACACAGCAACTGTACAACTGTAACAGGTTTTGTCCCATTTTACTCATCTTTTCTAACCATTGATAATAAGTACTTCACCATCAAAGAGGGAACTATACAGATCAAGAATTGTAAGTAACTGATGTAGCCTTTGTCTGGTACTGCAGCTTTATAGGTAATATATACTTCAATTTAATCAAATTTTCTGAATAACCCGAAGTTAATTCGTCGTAAGCAACTTAATCACTGATGTTATGTCGATGAAAGCACTCACCATGAAACCCTGTTTAACGCAGATTTCATGCCCTTTGAGACTTGCCGTACAAGGTGTAACTATGATCTTGATAGAACTTGGTATTCTTGTGATCCCATTTATACTGTTTGAGGCCTTATCATTAAGCTTTTTGGACCGTGACTGGCCTCCTGTAGAACTAAGATATATGTGTTAATAATTGGTTCATCACTGAGTTGTGACCAATGTCTTGTTTATCTTGTCCCTGATAATAATCATGTTCTATTGAGCGACTGCGATTTCCTTCTAACTACTTTCAACCATCTAATATAAAAACATAATACATGAGACATTAAGTCCAGTAGACTAGTTGGCACATTGCAATTTACTGATCGATAAAATACGATCAGCATTAAAATGAATTAGACAAACATGACGTTAATCACTTCTCAGTAACTAATCATTTGTAACTATCACTGTTTCGTATCACCTTTATACGTCGTAATTACGAAAAGGTTTTTAAAGTAATTTATTCTTAGTTCTTCCAATAATTTCTCATTATTTGCCTTTTTCTGTTTGTTTTTAATCCTGTTTAGTTGCTTCATTAAGTGATGCCCTGAAAAAAATTGATCAGTTCGATAAGGATATAGAACAGTTGGAGAAAAAAGCGTTTGAAATTGAAACTTTAACCAAACAACTAGGTAGATATGATATTTCTGCGTTTAATTATGAAATTGGAACAAAAAAACCAGGGATTCTGGCTGATCTGAAGTAGTTTGTGTTGTGATTAGTTTGATTCGTAGGTTTCATTCATTTCATTTAGAGTAACATTGGAAACAACGGGGTGTATCAGCCAATTGTTTCGCCCTAGTTTAGGACTCTTCATCAGTTTCCATTCAAAATCCTACCAGGAATCGAGCCACAAACTTTCAGATCTGTCTGTAAACGTTTGACCATTAGAACAACGAATGACTTACAGGACGAGACAGCTATCCGGTGCCCTCTAGTTACCAGTGTTACCTTAAATGCGATCCATCGGTGATAAATTAAACCTATAAATTTTTAGTTTAAATATTTTTTTGTTTTGAAAAACGTTAATTTATATACTGCACCTTTATAACCTATCACATATCTTCTGACTTGTTTCTTGATCTAACGTTTGGCTAAAAAATGTTCAGTTTAAAAGCACTCGCTTGTAGAAGAAACGTAGAATAAAATTAATGACAAATATTCTAGTAGCATATGCTGAAATAATAAATGCTCTTCAAATTACACAAGTGTTCAGAATTAACAACCTTGGAAACTAAAAAATTTAAGTCATGTTAGATGATAAGTGGAGAATTTCCCTACTTTAGAATTGTATTCCTATTCTTACATAGTGTGAATAATTTTATTGGGGCATATTTTCTGTCGCTAAATCAATTAACATCGATCATACAATCATTTTTTTATGTTTTAAATCGGTTAAAAATGTATAGAAGATGTGATATTTTAGTTCAGTAATAACTGATTACAAGTCATTGGTTTGCTACTCAGAGTTAGATGAAATCTTGTAACGTTGAGGAATTCCTGTGTTATCAATACAATCTATTCCACTTGTTTGTATAATATATTTTATGAACTTTAGAATTATTTAGAAAAATTCATAGTAATTTAATTCTTGATTAGTCAATTCTTAGTAGCCAACGATATATTTTGATGGGATATTATTTCCATTTTGTTAGCGGGACATAGACTAGACTAAAGCATGCTCAATGCATGATTGCTTTGGTGCACGCTGATTGGCTAATTCTTATCCAATCAGCGCTAGTCGATAGTTGGAGAATATTCTGGATTCTTCTTATGTAAAAACTATAAATATACCGACGTTTTCCCCTATTGTGCTTCCTACTGGCTTCTGACTTGCTATTTGGAATATAATCTTTTTCCTGTTCAACCGTGTTCTGATTTGGGGACTTGTCGAGTGAATCGGTGTCCGAGAATACTAAGCAATAGGAATAGCTGGGTCATTAACCGTAAGAAGAAACAGAGATTATAACAGTGGCGACGGGGAAAAACTAAAGAAAAATGGCGATTTCTTTAAAACAGTTGCGGTTAATATTACAGCACCAGCAGAAGTTGTTAGCCTTGCAACAACAACTATTGAACACACTTTTCACTCGACCAGAAAATAAGAAATCTGTTTATGATGTAGTAACAGACATTTCAGAAGCATATCTAGTGGAGGGTTCAAATCCCTTTATACCTGAATCAGAACGTAATATTTGTAACGTGTCCGGCTCACAGCAAGAAAATACTGTGCTGAATGCACATGAAGTTGTGACAATACCAGATGATCAGGAGCCAGGTCCTGTAGATGAAGCCCGGAGTCCAGAATCAAATGAAACACTACTGGTACTGTCTAGCTGCGAAAATAAACGTCAGCTCGAACAAAATTGTGGTCCACGTGCTATTAGTCGAGAAAGCTATGGTGACTCGTATTCAGAAAATAACTGGAGCAACACGATAAACCAAATTGTACCAGATGTTACTCAAAATCACTGGAAGACAGAATTTTATATTGAGTCAACTTATCCCATTTCTAATGACAGTGTACCAGATATTGATTCTCAGAATAATGCATATGATTTTGATGAACCTTCTTATAACAATGAGGGAAATATGTCAGCTGAGTCGAATGATGGCCAAAAATCTAATCTAATTCTGTTAGACGTTGACTTTCTTAATGACTCGTTATCTGCTAACGAGATTCATAATGAATTTGAAAATAATGAACTCAGATCAAAGGTTGTTCATCATCATCTAGTCATTTTTAGTGGATTCTCCAGTCAATACGAGAAACATGGTTTAAATAAAGTCCTACTAGTTATAATTTGGAGCCATAAGGACCCAACATTATTTCGAGGAGGAGGAGAATGTTGGAGAATTAAAAGTTATGCATACTTTTTTTTAAGAAAAATCAAAACGCCGGGAACAGACATGTCAGTCTCTGTGCAAGGAAAAAGTGATAATTCTTCATTGCCTAGACGATGGACTAATCGAAAGCACAAGCCAGTCACTCAGTTGCAGTTGGACCCTAGCACCAGATCCTACGAATCTGCTCAGAGGGGAGGTGTTAGCGGGACATAGACTAGACTAAAGCATGCTCAATGCATGATTGCTTTGGTGCACGCTGATTGGCTAATTCTTATCCAATCAGCGCTAGTCGATAGTTGGAGAATATTCTGGATTCTTCTTATGTAAAAACTATAAATATACCGACGTTTTCCCCTATTGTGCTTCCTACTGGCTTCTGACTTGCTATTTGGAATATAATCTTTTTCCTGTTCAACCGTGTTCTGATTTGGGGACTTGTCGAGTGAATCGGTGTCCGAGAATACTAAGCAATAGGAATAGCTGGGTCATTAACCGTAAGAAGAAACAGAGATTATAACACATTTAATGACTGTCATTTTGAATTATTTAAATGATCGTGGATGCGCACTGCTGAGGAGTCCCATACTAGGACGAAACGGCCGTCCAGTGCTTCCAGGTTTTCAATGGTGGTCTAGCTTCAACTGACTCATGATTTCAATCTGTGAAAATTTCTAAAATCTCCACAAACCCCTTCTGATAATAATCATCTGCTCACTAGTGACTGACTCCAAGAGATACTCCTGGAGTTCTAGTGGGAAGCCGTTACCAGTGGAGTACAACCAGGTCTGTTGGGAGATATTAGCTCACTGAAGACAATGGTATATGGTGGCGCAACTTCGTGGATTGGTTGAAGTTAGACATTAACACCGTTGGGTGCCGGCTCAGTGGTCTAATGGTTAAATGATATTTATCGTTTAGATGTTCTACTTTTCTAATTTCACAACTTTTTCTGTCTGTTATTACATCTGATTGGTGAAACTATAATTTATGGACGACTTTTAAGTGACACCAAAGTGACCTTAAGGCAACTCACCTACCTTACTAAGGTAGTATGAAGTGTTAACATTAGAATTAAGGTTACGAATTAAAGTAAGTGGTTTCAGGATTTCAGTGGTGGTCTAACTTGAATCGGTCCATGATTTTTTATCAAGTTCAACAATCTCCACAACCCTATATTGAAAATAAAGCAAGGATTTTTATCATGAGCTGACATCAGCTATAATGCCAAAATGCTATTCAATTAGATGGACAAATGACTTTCGCAACGAAGTTTAAGACTTCTATTCTTAATTTGATTGGTTCACCCACATATTAGTCTGTAGTAGACCAAATATATCAATTCTAAAATAATGATAAAGTTGTTACAAAAAAAGAGTAGAGACAATTGGTAATATACCGAAATATTAGTTATACACAAAGAAAAATATGGAACGCTACTTAAATTGTCAGGAGGCATGTTCGAGTTCCTTTTGGTCTAGTAATACATAACTATAAGTAGACAATGATTCCAAATGTTATGAATATAATTCAAATTGTGTATCTAGAGTAATCTCGTAATAAATATATCAATGTGATCTGTAAACGTAGACAGCGAAATATATTAAAGTTCTATTATTGCGACAGCTAATAAACGAAAACGAGAAGTATTTTCGGGCGATTATCGATGTGTCTTGACATGAGAGTACAAAACAGGGACGGAAGATCAAGGTCAAAACTTTTCAAAACAACAATTTTACGGTCGATATTAGTAATTGTACAAATTATTCGCAAGTCTCGCTATTTGATCTGATAAACGACAAATTTAGGATTATGTTACTTATATAAAAATAAAAGTAGTGTTAACCTTCAGAGCAAAACAAATCTGTACGCTTTTATGTTGCAATGGATTCTAAGTCCAAAAATATTGGGAAATGTGTGGGTGCAGTGAAAATAAAATTCATGTCAATGATATGATTCGGCATTTTTTCTCTCTTTCAAATACTTTCCTAATTTTTATATTAATTTAATATCACGCGATATAATGAAGCTGGACGCTACCACTACTACTATTAATACTGAACAGTTGTGTATAAATTGCCGGTTTACTTCCTTTTTTTTAATTGCCTTGTACAAATGAAGTCTCGTCTTTTTCTTTTTTTCCTCTTCTGGACTTTATATCTCTTTTCACGACTGCTCATCTTCTTTCTTTGATTAATACTAAAGCTTTGATGACTTGAAAATAGTTTTATTTCTCAAAGTTTTTAAGTTATATCCTCCTATTTTATAGTTAGGTACTAGGTAAATGAAATAAAATGACATTTGAAACAGTAAAAAAATCCATTTAAAGTAGTCTTGAAATCAAAGTAATACCTATATTTGCTATAACCGTCCCAAAAATACTGATAATTGCTACTGTGAATACTTTGAGCGCACAATACAAAAATGAAGAGAAAACTGATGGTAGAAGCTGATTTTATTCAAATTTCAGAAAACGTGACCGTCTCTTTTACTAAACTAAAGTTATGTAAAGATTTTAATACATAATCGACCGATTATATCTAATAGTAGAGTCCAGGACAAATGTTTCATCGTATTCTGAACTTGTTCATTACGTGTACACCTGCATCCCATTGTTGACATTCACGCCTGGGATTCATATCCAACTGGTTAATGTCTGTTACGTATAATCTATTAATGGTATTCATTATGTTTCGTGATCGTACAGTTCCGATAGACTAGCTTCCTACACAGCTTACTCAACCAGCTATGCGAGTAAAGTGACTGAAAGATAACTAAGAAGCTGTAATTAGCAGGGCTGAATTATTAGACATTTGTCCTTTTGACCACAAACAGGGACATGTAAGCTAAGACTCTTGATTGAAAGTATAATCAGCTTCCTCCGATAGTGTATCTCGTTTATTATTTCTCATCTACCATTTGATCTTTAGTTGACTTATAAGAACAAGTAAGTGATATACCTAAGCCCAGTTATCCTCCCCATATCTAGACGAACGCCCTCGATTTGAACTCATAGTTACCTTCATGTTCCTTTGAAATGTATCCTTTAATACATCTTTCGTTATATTTACTCTGTAAATAAACAGTAATTGCAGGTCGACTACCTTTTTTCGTTGAAGTAGATAAACTTCTCAATGTTTATAGACTAGACTAGACCAGATGACAATACTAACTTTTCATGGATATTAAGAAAGTAATTTTTACTATATTAAGGAATCGATTACTCTTCAGCCGCGCAGATCAAATAAATGTTTGTGCCTTAAACTGCAGCGTACTTTTTTGTGATTAACCTGAATAAAATTATAGTGATCTCTGATGACAACCAAATGAGAAATTCAATGTGACTACATTTTAGGCTATATTGTTCTCGTTGAATTGAATTGTTGTGATAATGAATCAGTGATGATGTAACGTTGCAATAGTGATGTTGCTGTAACTCATTTGCCAAGTGAGTACTCGCTGCCCAAATGCCTGAGTGTTAACGTGTCAGAATGTGATGCAAGTTCCAATCCTACGAGTTGCATCAGTTCCATCTAGATTGGAATTACGTCTTGCTGATGAGTATTGACTGAGATGGAATATAGATTGAATAAGGTTTCTTGCCTATTACTTCAAAACACCTAGTAGATCATATACTCGACTTTAACTTGTATTTTTTCTGTATGGGCAAGTAATACTATCCGAGTGCCCCTAAATTAAGTTAATCGAGGCTCAAGTTTCCAATCTTGTAGATAAAAGTTGATCACCTTACCCAGTAAGCTATCGTTAATCCTATAGACATATGTATATATGTACTGTTAAGAATTCTCTTAATTAATTTTCTATACTTTTCTTAATGTTTCAATGATTTTTTTATGGTAACAAACAATTCACATTTCAGAAAATCGTTACAATAAATTGGAAACTGAACACAATCATTGAATGACTGTTGGAGGGGATCTACAGCTATTCATTTTGTACACATAATTGATTATGTACATCTAATCCATAAAACAATACCAATTTTCACTTCACATTCTTTTATTATCTAAGATTGTCCATTCCTCTTCAGTGTTCCACAAAAGTACATTTTCGAGCATTTTCCCATTCTATTAGTGAATGAGTGCTCCATACGACAGTACGCCACTGTAGTGGATCTCAACTTTTCAGATGAAAAAAAGAAATGAAAGAAAAGTTAGAGCTTTTGATGAAATATTCAGTGAAAATTATGGTTTTATATATAGCAATTACATAATAAATGAACAGAAAATTACCCAAAAATCCTTGATACAGTCCAAATATTGACCATTGAAAAATAGATTCGCTACAAATTCACAATGACATATCCTATCGCTTTTTTTTCTACATTAATTTTAATAACATGTTTTCGATGTCTTGTTTTTTTTTACATTGAAACGGAAATATTTTTTTTAATTGTAATAATAATAATAATACTATGTAATTTAACTTTGTTTCGTTTTTCTCAAGAAATATATTTGTTTTCATCTTTTAGTCCTTTAAATTTTTGTTTCTAAGTGGCTTTAGAAAGAGAACTTAGAGCCAGCGGCTGCCCTGACATGCAATTTTTTGTGGTGTAGGAGTAAGTTGGAAGAAAGCTAGGGGCAGCCAGACCAAAATATGGTACAAGTCCATGAAGTCACTGACAAGTGGACTAAGCCATGTTGGTAGGTGTAGACTACCTGGTTGAGGACCCCGAGAGGATAGCAACCGATGGTTAGAGACCCTGAATGACATGGCTCGAAATCGTTTTGCAATGGCGGAGGTGCATCCACTCTTTGTATTCTCCTGAATTCTATGTGTCCCTTTTCTTTTTCTCTTTCCAAATTTATTTCACTTTATTATACTCCTTGAATAACATCTCCAAACCCTAATCTTTCCGATTACTGCTTATACTTTTACTACCTCTACCACTATGGGATTTGAATGGACAACTGCATGTCTGTGCTAATGTGGTATGGCAACTCGAACCGATGTACGTACGTACGAACGAAGTTCTACGTCGTTACTGACTGACTAAGTGGCTTTGCAACTCAATTATTTTAATTAAATTTCACTGAAATAGTCAACTAAATAACCACATTCAAAATGGTTTACTAACGAGAATCTTTTGTCATGATTTCATCTATTTTATCATTGTTATTATTTGTTTGAATGTAGTTCTCAATAGTTTCCTAAACGCTAGATAATTTGAATATAACACAACTTTAGTACCCAAGTGCAGATTTATATGCTCAGTATTGAGTTACTTTTTTATATGTGAATGTTAGTGATTCTACAGTTTAAAAAACGGAATTCTGTGCCACAAGGTTTGAACTCGAAACGTTGTTGTTGAAGCATACATACTCCATCCAGTGAATGGAACTACTCAGAGATGTAAGTAAAATTATCAGAAAGCTTGCGTGGAATGAATCTATAACCAATCATAATCTTCTTCTTCATAGTGTATACCGACATGGAACTAGACAGATTACTGTGATTAATTGACTAATAGTGGTAGTAGTTAGATTATATGTTTTATGGGAGCCCCTAATTATCGGTTTGTGTTTGAAACTTTTGTTTAATTGTTGAGAACTTTATTTTACAGAACTAAGTGTGTAAAGTGTTCAAACAATTTTCATCATATTAAAAAATAGATATAGATGGATGAATAATATTCTGTTTAATAAATTCGATTTGGGTTCATAGTTACAGTGTAAATTAGTAATTTAAAAGAATGGTCAAGTGTCAGTATGTATTGTTGTAGAAATCGTTGAATTTCATTGGCAATTACCATGTGCTCAATCGTAACTAGCTTTAATAGGAAATTCCTCGAGTTCTAGTGAAAATCCGTGACCAGTAAAGCTAAACCGTATCGCGTATGAGGCAGTTATCCATCGAAGACAAAGGGAGATGGTCACACAATGTCGTGGATTGGTTGAAGTTATATATTACACTATTGGCTACCAACTTGATCTATAATTCGGGTGTTTGAGCGCGAGACTGGTGGTTCTGGGTTCATTTCCTGTGTGCAGGGTCATAATTGCACACTCCTGAAGAGTATCATACTAGCACGAAATAGTTGTCCAGTATTTTCAGGTTTTCGATTTTTGTACAGCTTATATCGCTTCGTGATTTTAAAGAATGATTAAGTTTAACACATTTGTGTATTTTACAATCACCGCCTATTAATTATGGATCGCTTGTAAAATAAAATCAGTGGTGTCAAAATGACAAGGGTGTACTGTTAACTTGAGATTGATAGTTGGAATAAATGTAAGTGAATAAAGTTAACAGAAGTATTTGTGTAATTACAGGTGAAATGTTTGGCCGAAGACTATATCATGTTTCCCGAACGTTGCTGCTACCTTGACGTGCTGGTCAGGCTTGCCTATCGTGATGAACCAGTCGAGCTATACTGTCTGGAATAATCCTTCCCCAAGGTCTTATTGTACCAAGCAGGTCTGTTGAAGAGCGATAAGACTAAAAGCAGCAAACCCAATGTCCGAGGGCGAAGTCGTACTGCTCATTGTACAGAGATGTGACGGCAGTAAGGTGTTTCCTTCAGACAACCAGCATAGCAGCGATGCTGCCTTTCCACAAGGAAGGGTGAGGTTGGAAAGGGTCGACCCTAAAAATACACACCTCACCTTATCCCACGGATTTCCTTTTCCGGCGGTGAGTTCCCAACAATTACGGAGCTAACACAAGAAGGTCGTATGTGGCCGACGTCAAGCAGTTGTCCCTTGTTTGATATGAATTTAGTAGGATAACATGAGCACCAATCCAGTTATTCATATGTTTATAATACCAATTTTTTTATTGAGATCATAAACTTATTGATGCTGGACCACCATTGAAAGCCTGGAAGCACTGGACGGCCGTTTCATCTTAATAATCTCCACAACCCTATACTGATAATTACCATGTGCTCACTAGTGACTAGCTTCGTGAGAGAATTCTCGGAGTTCTAGTGAGAGGCCGTAACCGGTGGAGCTAATCCGTGTCGGGCAGAGACAGGTATCTACCTCATTACAGTGGAAGATGGTCGTGCGATTTCGTGGGTTGGTTGAAGTTAGACATTAACACCGTCGGATGCCGATTCAGCGGTCTGGAGGTCAGGCGTTCGTGCGCGAGATTGAAGGCCCTGGGTCTAAATCCCGCGGGTGGGATCGTGGATGCGCACTGCTGAGGAGTCCCACAATAGGACAAGATGGCCGTCCAGTTCTTCCAGGCTTTCAATGGTAGTCTAACACCAATCGGTTCATGATCTCAATCAAAAACTAAATAATCACAAACCTGTTCTAGAACTTTCAGTTTTGTGAGCAAACGCTAAACCTCTACTCCAAAACCATCATCCGACGACGTTAATGTCTAACTTCAACCAGTTGTATAGATATGAACGTGGGGATATAAATGATGAACAGTGAGAAATATTTCAGTCATCACAAATTGTAACAGGCTAATACGTTACTCATGAACACACTGATTCCTTAGTTGTTTGTAGTGGCCCTGCTTGAAATAACTAAAAGTGATATTCACTCGTTTTCCTTCAGATGAGGCTAAATTATAAAGGAAAAGACTTTTTAACATTAAACCACCTAGACCAACTGGATATAATAAATAACTCGTAAGTTGTGAGCTAAAGAATTGTTGTTTAAAAAAGGGATACATTCTATCGTTGACGTTTAAAGTAACGAAGGTGTACAGGGTTCAGTCTTTGTTAGGTTTGCGTCTAGGCTTAAGGTTTATTGTAGGCTAGGGGAATGTGAGGAAGTCTGTGTTTGTGAGAGCGAGAATCTTCAGAAGTAAAGTGAGCCAATGACTGGTAAAGTATTGCGTTATGTCAGATGAAAAAACATATTGTTTACTTGGGTTATTTTGTCCTGTGTACTCGAGCAGTACAACCTCTCCCTCTCAAAATAGTTATCGACTAGTTCACCTGTATTTGCAGTAGGACTGGTGATCCAGTTACCAAGTGACACATCAACCAACTAGTATAAATAAAACATTAAAGCTTATATGTCATCAAGCTCCTAACCCAATGGTTAATCAGAAGACGAGGATAGAAAGTAGATCAGTTTTCTATTGCACTCAATTTAATCATGATCAAAACTCAGACAATAATACGCTTTGAATGTCTAACTGCACAGTAACACAATAATTACAGCGTGTCCATAGATCAGTCATAAGTGGTACATGACCAGGATAATAGGCGAATAAATAATTAATGAAAAATCTGGAATAATAATATATATGGTGGCGATTTATGGATCAAATGAAAGCTTAGAAATATGATGATATGAAAGTATAGATAATAATCCTTTGTATGATAGTCTCGAAGTTAAGTTGCCACACTATTCGCCCTATTGTATCACACACCCAGTTCTCGTAGAATACACGTGAGACGCAAATCTAAAATAATTATATATGACTGTAGTGGATGAACAATTCAGAAGATTATCTTGTAGTAAACGAGAGCTCAGATAGGGAAAACCAATTTACTTATTCAATACCAAATTACAAAGTTCTTTCATAAAACGTGAAAGACCTTACATTAAATACTTCATTTGTAAATCTTCCATCAATGATCTCAAACTCCATTGTCCCTTCATTCCAGTTGTCATTACTTTTATTCTCTATTTACATCCCTGTTCTCTTCAATGTGATCTTCTTAACCTTCTGCTATCTGTATTCCACTTCTGAGTGGTGTTACATACTAATTATATCTAACAACATAAGCAGCATACACTACAACCTCGTAAGTTTGTATATAAAAACATTTTGCATTCTAAAATCACGGCAAATAATAACATTAAATGCTGGTATTCCTGAAGTGAGAAGTGGTCGAACCAACTAATATCCTTCATCTTTTATTTTATTCATTTATGAGTTACTAACACATACAGCATAGTTTGATCTGTGATTGTGAATTATCGATTACT